GTGCGATTATGCGGTGTGCGGTGTGTGCGGTGTGTGCGTGTGATGAGCAGACAAGGAGGGCGGCTCTACGGCAAGCTGTCGTCGTGGGATGCCTACGCGCCCGTGAGTACGGCGGCGCTGGTGCTGACCCTGTGGGACGACATCGACTCCGCTGCGCCACAGCGCCTCCACGGTGCTCGCCGCCTTCCCCTCGCCCCTGCCCGGCTTCTCCGACGACCCGGCCAAGGTGGCCTCGCTCATGCGCTGGGCGCTCTGGATGATGAACTCGCCGCCCCGCGTACGCCTTACATTCCACCACGCACATTCCTTTCCAATGGTCAGCTGCAGTCACTCACCGTGTGGCGCGTGTCGTGTCGTGTCGTGCCGTGCCGTGCCGCGTGTGCAGACCCGGGAGACGGATACCGGGCTGTCTGGTGTTCAGGCTCATTCTCACCAAGTAGTATGTGCTGCCCCTGGGCCGGTACACATCCAGGTGAGCGAGGAGTCCGTCACGCCGCATCTGGCCCACTCGCTCCCTCCTTCAACCCGCACGAACGAATGTACGCCACAGAATTATTTATTTACTATTTGGTGTCATTTCAATTATTATTCTTATTGAGCGGTTTAAGGTGGCGCTCACTGAGCCAGGCGTGTGTACACACCGCAGTCGCAGTTCTTCTTCAGCGAAACGATCAGTCAGCTGGAGCGCCACATCGCGTGCGCGTCGGCGGACCACCTGGTGGGCGCGTCGCAGCGCACGCCCATCCACGGCCCCGCTGCTGGCCATCCGCTACACATGATCCAGGACGTCAACTTCAAGACCCTCAAGGCCACCAACGTCGACGCTTCGACCGACGGTGGTGGATCGAAGCAGATCGCCGACTGGCGGCGCCTCCTGCTCGGCCGCCTGCTGGCCTGCCTGACCCGCAAGGCCACCAACCTCATGCTGCCCATCACGTGTCCGCGAGCATCAGCCCCCGAGGGCCTCCGCCCAGACCATCCCCGAGGTCCGAACTCACCGCTCGCACCTCCACACCAGCGCACCGCCATATCTGACGCGTGTCGCGTCGTGTGTGACGTGTGTGACGTGTGTGTCGTGTGTCGTGTGTCGTGTGTCGTGTGTCGTGTGTCGTGCGTCGTGTGTCGTGCGTCGTGCGCCCAGAAGTATGAGGTGAGTGGCGTGATTGAGAGCGAGAGCGACATCGAATACCGGGACGCCGCAGGGTCAGTACCTGGCGGTCTGCGCATGGCTCTCCATCAAGGAGGTGGGCCTCCTGCTCGGCTCCCTCGTCAACGCCGTGCCCGTGCCCTCGCCCAATCAGAAAAGAGGTAACAACCCTCCTCGCCGCCCCATTGGGCGCCGCCTTAACATCCCATAATTGGTCGTCTTTCGATCGAAAAAATGAAAAACACTCACGAGGTGGTGGTGGTGGTGGTGGTGGTGCAGGTGGGTGATGGCCGAGAAGGGCATCAAGGAGGCCGGCGACATGTGCATGCACATCATGCTGTCCTCGCGCCACAGGGGCGCCCTGGAGAAGTCGTACCTGGGGGCTTCCAGCCCCTCTCCGAGAACCTCCTGTCCTGCGCCCACTCCGGGCTCTACTCC